ATCTGTTTGAAAAATCGGCTCCATAAGGAGCGTTGCGTGGAAGAAAGGAACGCTGTTGTAGAATGTGAAAGGGGTACAATGTGTGCGATGTGGACGATGTAGGAGTCATAAAATACGTGACGGAAAATCGTGTCAGTCGTATAGATACTCGCCACTGCTCAACTTTCTCGCACGGTTACAGCAGCTTTTTTTTCCAGAATCCTTCGTCAGAAAGAGAGAGAAAGAGAGAGACAGAATGAGTGAGTGAGAGAGAGAGAGAGAGAGAGAGAGAGAGAGAGAGAGAGCCTTTCACCGGCCACGTTCGTTTCTATCGATCCGCCATACTGTTCTATTCGAGGAAGCTGGATGTCCTCCATCGAATCCTTCTTTCACCAAGTTTCTCGATTCTGGATACGATTTTGTGTCTAGCGATTTGAGAGAACGTAAGATATCATGAAGATGGGTGGAAGGAAATTTGTTTGATCCTATTTGTCGATCGATAGAGGATATTCAGAGATCGAGGTGAATTTTGTCGGGAATTTGAAATTAGCAGCAAATAAGGAGATTTAGAGTATAATTGGTGCGTATATAATTTTTATCATCATTAATTAGAGTAATTCTAAAATTTTACATGAAATTAAATTTTTTTAATTTAAATATTTTGCTATGTAAATTTGTAAATTTTAGTGAAATTTACAGATGCATTAAGAAAATATGATAGAATTTTTATCACATAGTTATTAGTGTGATAAAATTCGGTGGATGGAAATTAAAATAATTTCACTAATTATTGGCCATAAGTCAATCTATAATGAATGCATGAATACGATAAAAAATTTAGACAACTGTGCAAAGAGGACATAGGAAACTGAAAATTTACTTAATATATCTGAATATGAATCTAATAAGTTGTAATGAATCTAATGTTTCTTACAAATGTTCTTCTTTTGTTCGAGGGTGGTAGGAGCATTATTACAATAGCGAAAGAGTGAAAATATTGGCCAAGTAGGCGCACCCAGGAAAGCTCTGTCGTTGTGTTTGAAGTTTCAAGGCTTGTTAAAAAGAATACGCCATGCTTTTACTCCGTTCTTCAACTTCTCAACTCCGAAAAAATTCCGGTCTAAATTTACGAGAAAATCTACGAGAAGAGGATCTCATTCTCTTATTCTTCCAATTTCTCGTCTTTAAATTCATCTATTTTTAAAATTTCTCGAATCATCTGCGAAATCAAAGAATCGTTAAATTTTGAAAAAAACTTTTCCTTTTCACACGGTCGAATTAAAATTTCTCAAAGATCCTCTTACGTTAAAAAAATGTGAAAAATGGAAAATCGATGAAACCTTATTTCCTCGAAAATTCTATTCAACTCCCTCTAAACTTGATAAATATTTTCAACGCTTCACTAAATTTGTATAAAAACAACTTTCAACTTTAACAATTTCATTTACGAGGATTTTTAACCAGTTTTTCCCACGATCTTATTCTAAGATTTCTTTCAAATCTATATTGCTAAAAACTATACACGTCGTTCCGGGAATAATGAGTATAATTAAAAAAAAAGGGGGGAGGGGAAAGGGAGGGAGGAATCAAAAGAAACGGGGAAGAAAAACGATAAAGCGGAAGCTGGGATTTTTTCCCCTCCCCGCGTTACCGCAATGGCTTTTGTTCGAAAAACTTTTTCCGTCCGGCGATGGTTCGCATTGGAAATGAATCGTGTTTGTGCATGCATCGGAAATGAATAATCCAACTTTTCGAGCGAGCTCCTATTACAGAGTCGGTTTTTCACTTTGAAACTTTTATCGGCGTGGATCTCTTCTCGCCTGTTGTTCCACGATTACGCGCCGTTAACCGGCAACAAAATTTATTTCGAGGGCGAAAATACACGGATGGACAATGGACGATGACGATCCGATTCGAAAAATTCAATAATTGGATAAATTTTTTTTCTCCATACTTTGAAAAATTATCCTCCGCTTTTCTTTTATAATTAAGTGATTAAGTGAATTCGAGTTGATTTGGAGTGCAATGCGAACCATTTATACGCTTCATTTAGTTCGAAATATTGTTTCAAGCGTTAAGTAAAGTTGGACTCCTTTCAATCTTCTTGAAGGATAAAGTCGTAATCGTGTATAATTAATATCTTGAGATAGATATGTAAAAGATTTTTGGACGATATTTCGAGGCATCTATGTTGTTTTCAACTCGAATTATTTTAATTCGAGTTGTTTGAATATTTGTACAGTGTAATTTTTTTTTTTTTTTATTTAGAATATCAACAACATAAGAAAATGTATTTTATAATTATATCTTGTTCCGCGTGATTTTCGAGCGAATTTATTTTAAATGTCGCAAAACATGGAGAGAGTGAAGAACACGTTGAAACGCAGGTAAATATGTAAATATCATCCGGCAGGCGCATGGTTCTAGAAAATAAATTAAAAATAAAGCAATAAAATAATCTCTGGTTGAAATATCTTTCTCACTTCTTCAGTTATATAACGTATCTCGCGTTTATTACTTATCTCTCTTAATTTCTTTCCCCACATATTTTTCAAAAATTCCTATCTCTCACTCTTTCAAAAACTTAAAAAAATCGAGAGTTCACGGGTTACAAAAAAGAGGAAATAATATTCAATATTTTACTCGTCGAATATACCGATAATACATCAAACAAATATAGAATACACGTGCATTCTGTCTTCATGATTTTATCCCAGAATTTATTATCCGTCAGACATATTTTCTCTGTTGCTATTAATTTCCATGTAAAACGCAAATTTAAAAATACCCATTGTACGATCGAGAACGTTATACAGTCACTCGCAAAAAAAATTATACATTTTAATTCACTGATCGAGATTATCATCAAAATCAATCCTGTTTTCTAATGAAACAGTTGGGAATATACGAAACACAAAGGGTTGCATAAAAGGAATAATTTATTAATAGAAAATAAGTAAATGAAATCAACTCTTCTTTCTCAAAATACAACTTTACAATAACAATAAAAGAAAGCAACACTTAACGTACATTTCCTTAAAATTCAATACAGAATCCTTTTTTAAAAATAAATTTTCCCAAATAAAATTGCATTCAATACAAAAAAATGCTTTCTCTTTCAATTACACAAATTAATTTTCATTGAAATCAGAATTTTCAGAATTTCCTTGTACGAAGATTTTTGTACATCGAAGGAAAATTTTCACTGGAGAATAGAAATTTAGGTGTATATATATATACGGTATTAAGTATCGTGGCAGATACTCGCACAATACGCGACACGCGAAACTCCTTTCACGATGGCCAAGGGTGTTGATGAGGGTTGCTCGAGTCGATACTCGTTTATTATAGATTTTAACGTGCACGCTCGACCCGGCTAATTCTATTTCCACAGTTCTGGCGCGCATCTGTGTGTCGCCGACAATTATACACGTCGAGCTCTTATTACGGATGTCGTTGAAGACAATATCGGTCCCGTTGTAATCCAGTTTTCCTAACAATACGCGTAAACGAATGCAGCGCGGTCCAACTAAAACGACCGGCCAAGTGAATTTTCCACGATCGACACAGGACTGGTTCATTCTCTCTTTCTCTCTTTCTGTCCCTCTATGCAAAATAACACGGAGGGATTCGAAAGTTCGATATTTTCTATTTTTTCTCCCTCCCTCCCTTTTTTTTTAGAGGGAGGGAAAAAATTGAAGCGTCGATTTGAACGATTGGAATTCCGGATTTCGCGTTGTGAATTTTTATTTCGAATTTTTTTTACTTTCATAGATCTCGATTGTTATTTAATGTTATACGGGGAAATATTTTCGATTTTGGGATTTGATTGAACGATGATGGGAATATTTGAGGAATAATTTATAGATTTAAGATTGTATGGAAGTTTATAATTTTTTTCGAAAGTTTTGAGTGAAATTTTCATTTTTTCCCCCTTTTTTTTTTGTATGTAGTGAACTTCGAATAGCAGGAATTTTTTAATTTTCAAATTTTTAGAATTTTTTCCATTTTTTTTTCCCGTGATTTGACTATTCCTATTTCGTTTGGAAATATTTTTTTTACAAAAAGTGATGAGACACTAAAGCTTGAATATTTTATTTATTTCAAATTTCGCTTCACTATTACAAAGATAAAGATATTAAAAAAAAAGAAAGTGAAATTTTATGAATTGATTTTGATCCTTCGAATGATAATATTCCGCCAAGAAGAATCATCTCGCATTACATCCTAGAAACTCTGCATTAGTTTTATCAACAATTCTCGTTCGCTTTTATAAAAATAATTATCGGAATTAAAATACCAACGATATCTCCAACATCAAATCGTGCATCAACTCTCCACAACCATCCCCCTCTCTAACAAAAAAAATAACAAAATTCTCTCCCTAGAACAACAACTAGAAACCACCAAGAAGTATCGCCAAACACCGAACCTCTAAAAAAATTCTCTCCAAAAACCTATACCGACCAAACGCATTGTTGTTCGATTCGCGACCACGTATCGACCCCCCCTCCCCCATTCGAAACATCATCCCCGTAACACAACCTACCTCTACCCTCCTCCTCTCGCGTTCGCGTATCGAATGGCAAAAAACAAGCCCCAAAGCCTAGAGAACCCCTCCTCCCCTACCCCCGATCGGGGCGAAAAAAGCCCCGCGCGACTTGCTCCTGCCGCGATTCCACCGCCCCTTCCACGGCCCCCCTCCCCCTCCCCCACTTTCAAAAGCGGCAAAAGCGCGGCATCAAAACAACTCTCGTCCCGCCACGAGGGGGGGGGGGGGAGAGGAAGGGAAGAATGATTCTCCGGCGGCGGAAAGGGCGGCGAGGGTGGAAAAGGCGAGGAAAAGCAGAATGTTTGGGCAGCGATAAGGGGGCACACGGGTGTGCGGTTCGAGAGCGAGCGGGAGCGGCGTTTGCGCGCGTCGCGACGCGGCGCTTGCGGCCGGCCTTTAAGGTCGGTGGAAGCGAGCGACGGCAGAATCGCGCGAGCCACAGTGCCATTCGGACACGCGGATAGTTTCTCGTCGTCGCGGCGGCCAAACCGAGGATCGGTCGCGCCGTGTAACAGTCGTACCCCTCTCTCGTCTCGTATATATCGGTATATACCTTCCCGCCCCCCTCTCCCCGTCCCCTCGTGCCAACGTTTCCACGATCGACCGTGCTTTATTTGTCTCTCTCTCTCTCTCTCTCATTCTTTCTCCTTCGTCGCCCCTTCGTCTCGTTATCCGAGTGTTCGTGCGCGCGGTGGTGGAGGACATTGACGAATCGGACACCCTCGATACCAACGAACCGAAAATTCCGCCACGTTTTCAACTCGAGGAGGAGGTGACACACTCGTCGCGGCACACCGCCTCCTGGCCTCTCTCCGCTCTGCCTCCTGCTGCTCGTGGCCTTGTTTGTTTGTTGTTCATCGTTGTTGGTGTGGAAGAGTGTAGTAGAAGAGGAGAAGGAGAAGGAGGAGGAGGAGGACTGTTGCATTTATCGGTTGTTCGCGCCCGTTGATTGGTCTTGTTTGCTGTTTCTTTGTTCCGTTTTCCGTTCTTTTTTTTTTTTTTTGTTTTTTTTCGCCTCCGAGTGGCCCAGGTGAAACAAGTGAAACGAACAACGTTTCGGGGAAAGGAGAGAGAAAGGAAGAAGGAAAGGTGTGATCTGTTGTGATCCGATCGAGGACGAGGACGCTGGACACGGGTGGATCTTGGGGTGTCTTGTGCGGTGGGGAGCTTCTTCGGTGAGTAGATAATATTGTTTATTTTCGTGGTCCGCATTCGGTCGTGTGTTGCGTTGGACGTGAACCGAAGGGGTGGCGAGGAAGAAAAGTGGTGCGAGTTAATTTTTGAACATGAGTAAATATTAAAGCGAAGATTACACTAAACGTGAAACGTAATTTCCATTGAAATAACATCGGTATTATCGAGCTGTGTTGTACCTTTACTAAATAGAAATATCGTGTGCATTCAAATCGTTGATCTAATCGTTAATCTGAATTTCTGTTTTATTTTTCACACGAATCCTACTTTTTAAACGGGCAGCTTGTATTTCCTTTTGCTTATTTTAAAAAAGGAATCGTAAAATATTACATACCGATCAGGTTCGCGGAAATTCTCGTAATAGTCAAACAAATCTTTCAAATCAATTTTTTTTTTTTCCTCGTGATACAAGTTCACAATGCAATTGCATATTTTACACGCTCCTTTCCTATACACATACACACATACACACATACATGCTCTCTACATTTTCAAAACAAAGACGTACTTTTTCCATCAATCCTCTCGATCGAATTCAATTACAGTAAATGTATCCGAAGAAACGTACTGTCCTCCAAAACGAAAGAAAGAAAGAAAGAAAGAAAGAAAGAAAGAAAGAAAAAGAAAAGAAGAAGAAGAAAATAATAAAACAATCGCAAAAGCGTATGTGTCAAGGCGGCACGACCGACAATTGTTTTTAATAAGCCGCAATCGAGATCCCTCTCCTTCACGAGTATCAATTCCCGATCTCAACCCGAGATCACCTCGACAGACGAAATCTCAGAAATTCATCTCGAAACAATGATATTTCGACATTTCGGGAATACTTCATTCGTATTCGAGTGCAGTGTCGCGAGTGTGCGGATGCATGAATAAAACGGCTGTTGCCTCGGTTTTTTTTTTTCTTTTTCTCTCTCCTTTCCTTTCTCGAGGAGGACCTTGGCGTCCCTGGCACGATGATCTCTCGATTCGGAGTAGACCGTGGCGATCGTTGGCCCCGTGACCTCCTCCTCCTTTCCACAATCCTCTCGATCTTGGCGCGACACTTGCATAACGTTCCTGGAAACCTGTGGCGCCTCGTGGAACCAGATCGGCTTTAATAAACCTCTTCTTCGCCCAAGAGCTTCGTCGGCCGGTCGTCGACGTTCCTTTGTTCCTGTAGAACCACGTTCTGTTTATTAAAAACTTCTCCCGGCCTAAAGAGAGTTATTTAACGAACCTCGTGCTTCGCGTATTCTCCTCGTGTCTCTTCTCCCCCTTCGAATATCGACGGGGAAAAAAAGTCGATCGAAGGAAGGATTATTTATTTCCCGAATTCGAGTACAACGATTTCTTTTGCAATTGTGAATCGTTCGGGGATAATTGCGATAATTTTTTTCCCCGGCAATGATTCAATAACGCGAACCAGTTTTACGAGATGATTTATCGAGATTGGAAAATAGAAAGAAAGATGGTGGAATGGTGTAAACGCGGTTGTGAGGTCATTCCCCGTCACGCGAAGGGAAAAGAATGGAAGGGACGTTGCATGCGATCCATCGATATATTCTACTCGTTTTTGAAATAGCATCGTAAACGTTGAGCAAACTCATCTTGACATACGGTGGCTCGTAAAGTGCTCGAACGCTCTGGGTGTAAATAAAGTAGTGATGAATAGTTGGGGTCGGGTTCTAACGAACTGTTTTGTCAAGTGGGAAAGTAACGACTTCAGTTAAATATTTTTTATTATGTTTCTCTTTTTTTTTTTTTTAGATAATTGTTAACATCTAATTTGTTAAAGAAAATTAGTAAAAATGAAAATTTGAATTCGTAAAGTGAAAATTAACGATGAGAGTTTATTAAACTTTTTAGAAAATTTTCTAGAGATACGTATTTTGTCCAACTACGGAAGGAAAGTGTAATGTAAATTGGGCGAGAAAATGTTATTTTTAGATAGTTCCTTCTATATATATAATTTGACAAAGAAATTAAAAAGACAATTATTATTTAAATAAGAAGATCAGTGAATATGTTATAAAGTATCGTTCCTTAAAATTAACGGGTAAAGCCATCAAAGTTTATGTCGATTTGTCGTAAAACTTGGGTTTTTCAATAAGATGATTGGGCAATATTGTAATTACTCGTGAGACACAAGCATGAAGATTATACGCGCAAATACTGAAAAGGTAAAACAAACCCTTCAACTTTATTAACGTTTCTTTCATTTTTTTTTTCTTCTAAATATAACTTTGCAATCTCGTAAAATAAAATAAACATATAAACATATAAAATGTTCAAATCTTCGAATTGATTTCACATCTTTTGTTTTTTGCAAAACTATTAAAAATGCACGCGAGTTTTACAAAATAAATATTAATTTCTATTCGGATAGAAAGTAAGTAATTACGCGAATATCCTATAATAATATTTTAATTTTATGCATTTGAATAAAAATACAATTTGATACATAAAAAAAAATATTTTCAACCATTCGAAACGTTAAAGGATTAATTTCTCCTCTTCGAATTTTTCAATATTTTCCTCGCCGAAGAAATAATCCTCCGTATATAATTCCATTATATTCCACCCGAACATCAAAATAAAAATTTTTCTAATAAGATAACGTTCGAATACTTTCGTGAGTCATGTACGGCAATACTCATTACAACCGATCATCGCGAATAATAAATACGAATGCGCGTGTTTTCTTGCATTGATTAGCGCCTATTATTATCTACCGTGTTTTATCTTGAGATTAACGCGCGGCTGGCTTCATCGACACGAAAAAAAAAAAAAAAATGCTGCGCATCGTCAGCGCGTAACATTGATAACCTAATATCAGTGGGAGAAAAAAAAAAAAATTAAATGATTAATGAACGGTGGAACGAAGAGAGAGGAAGAATACATCGCGTACAAAATGTAGTCGAAAAATTCCATTTGTCTGTCTGGGAAGAAGTGTACGGCTACAGTGTTTATGTAGTGGAAACTGTACGGGATAATAATAGATTAGACGTTTTTCCAAGGAATATTATCGTATTTGTACATTTATTCTTTTTCGAGAAATTAAAAAGAAACGTGGATGAGATGTTTTAATTTCGTATAGTGTACATTCGTTTTGAAGATTTGACAGTAGAGATATTATAAATTCGAATAATTAGTATATTATAAAGTATATTAATTACGCTGTCGAATAATTAAAAAGTGGAAACACGTAACGAGAATACGCGTATTTGTAATTCAACAGGCGTAATTTTGCATACAATGCATGCAAACGAATGGAACGAAGATTTAATCATTATATATATAACGTTATATAAATTATTATTCGTGAAAATATATATTCAATTTATTTTCTTGAATCTAACTATTTACGCGAATATCGTTACATTTGACAAAATCGTAAAACCGTAATAAGAAAAATATATATTCCATATTTTCTTTTTAATTTCTCAAAAATTGAAAATATTCTTCCTCTGCATAATTTTAATTCGCAGAAAAGAGTATAGAGAGACGAAATAATCTACTACTTCTTTCTCCGTTTCATTTACAAAATTCTATTCTCTCCATTTTTCTCGGAACAAAAAAAAAAAAAAAAAAATCTTTCAGTTTTCGAACGTTGCACAAGGATACGCGAATAAGGAATTATAAAACTTCTTTTTAAAACGAAAAAATTACAATGATACGCTTCAAAAACGCTTCATCGTCAAAGACAAAGATATTTCCGCCCATATTCTCAATTTCCAACTCGCTCGCAACTTTCGTAATCAAAAGATACATTAACGCGTTCCCCATTAATAAACGACAGCCTCATTATCAGCTGTCGAACTCAGCCGCCTCAAACCTAACAACATTTGCCTAACAACGAGCAAAAAAAGACTTGGGAGCACGAGTTATAAATTAACTCTTCCTCGGCTCAATTATACATGATGCAAAATGGCGACAACGCGTCTCGAAGATGACTCTCTTCGCCTCGAGATGTCGCGAGCGGAAAAAAATATCCTTTTTCTCTCTCTCTCTCTCTCTTCCTTTTCTCGACAAGAGAAGAGAACCGTTTCGATGGTAAACGTGGAACCGGTATTCCCAGAAGATCTTTGAGCGGACAGTCTCGATCGTCGTCGACGATCAACAAGAAATCGAGCGACCGCTCCTCTTTTGTCCACGTTCCAGATCACGTCCAGACCGGATTTCTGAAGGACTTGTACGCTAAATTATCGAGGGCTTGGTCGTGATATCGATTATCTATGCATCGGTTTATCGATCGATTAGATCATGATTGTATTTTGGTATCGATCTTATCGTCGGGAGAAAAGGTATTGTTTTGACGGAGGGACGTATTGTGTATTTGTGGGTTTCCGTGTTTGTAGCACGATTCTCTCATAATGCTAATGTCCGTGAAATTCGCGACGATACGCCCACGAGAGACGATTTGATATCTCTGAATTACGGAGCGGACAGGCGTTTGTCTGATTGTTGAAGTAATTGGAGTAATAGTAATCGGTTTTTCTAGTAATAGTTTCCACCATTTTTTGATGATTTTGTCGAATGATTAAAAATCGAAGATAACGTGTAATTTGATAGATCTTTGATTTTGAAAAAATTTTTTAAAGTTCGTGAGATTTCGATGTAATAAATTTTGATTAAATTTGGTGAATTTTTGATCGTAATATGTAAGTAATTTTGAAGAAAATTTAATGTAAGATGAATTAAATTAAACAAAGATATTTTTTCCATCTCACGATATGATGCACGTGTAATAAGATAAAATGAAACGAGTGTAAATGTTTTAACGCGCTAGACTATTATTGATCTCTTTATTATATGTTATTAATCTGTTATGCACGTATATAACAGAGTATGTTATTAATTTCTCAATGGGACTTTAAACTTCGTTACGGATTTTTTTTTTTTCCAAGCCAAGAACGATTACGCGAAACGACATAATTGAGACACCGGATATGAAAATTCCATTCTATTTGCATTCTTTTAAATTCAATTACCACCAATT